TTGTCTTTTCTTTTCTTTCCTGATTTTGTTTATTTGGATGCTGTCTCTCTGCCTTTTGGTTAATTTAGATAAGGACTTGTTTATCTTGTTTTTGTCAAATAACCAACTCTTAGTTTTATTGATTCTTTGTATTGTTCTCTTTGTTTCTATATTATTGATTTCAGCTCTCAATTTATATATTCCTGGCATCTATGCCTGTTGGTCAACTTTGCTTCTTCTTGTTCTAGAGCTTTCAGTGTGTGCTGTTAAGTAACTAGTGTGAGATTTCTCCAACTTCTTTATGTTGGTATTTAGTGCTATGAATTTTCCTCTTTGCACTGCTTTTATAGTGTCCCATAAGTTTGATTATGCTGTACTTTCATTTTCATTGAATGAAATCTTTGGAATCTAGGAAATCTTTAATTTATTTCTTTATTTCTTTCTTGACCCATTGGTGATTCATTTGGGCATTGTTCAGTTTCCATGATATTGTAGGTTTTTTGTAAATTTTATTATTGTTGAAATCTAACTTTAAGCCATGGTGGTCCAATAAAATACAGGAGGTTTTTCCATTTTTTTTTGTATCTGTTGAGATTTGCTTTGTGATTGAGCCTGTGGTTAATTTTACAGAAGGTTCCATGGGGTGCTGAGAAGAAGGTATATTCTTTTGTGTTAGGGTGGAATGTTCTGTAGATATCTGTTAAATCCTTTTGAGTCATAACATCTAAAATTCCCTTATTTTTCTGTTAAGTTTCAGTCTGATAGATCTATCCAGTGGTGAGAGTGGGGTGTGGATGTCTCCCACTACTAGTGTGTGGGGTTTGATGTGCGATTTAAGCTTTAGTAATGTTTCTTTTATAAATGTGGGTGCCCTTGTATTTGGGTTATAAATGTTCAGAATCGAGACTTCATCTTGGTGGATTTTCCTTGTGATAAGTATGTAATGTCCTTCCCGATCTCTTTTGATTGATTTTAGTTTGAAGTATATTTTATTACATATTAGGAAAGGTACACCAGCTTTCTTCTTAAATGCATTTGATTAGAAAGTCTTTTCCCAGCCTTTTACTCTGAGGTAGTGTCTATCTTTAAAGCTGAGGTGTGTTTCTTGTATGCAGCAGAAGGATGGATCTTGTTTTTGTTTCCATTCTGTTAGCCTGTGTCTTTTTATAGGTGAGTTAAGTCCACTTATATTAAGGGATATTAATGACCAGTGATTGTTAATTTCTGTTATTTTTTGGTGGTAGTGTGTGCACATTTCTCTTCTTTGGGATTTACAGCTGTGGGCTTACCTGTTGCTACTGTTTTTGTGGGTGTATCTGACTTTTGTAGGTTGGAATTTTCCTTCTAATGCTTTCTGTAGGCCTGGATTTGTGGATAGGTATTGTTTAAATCTGGTTTTATCATGGAATTTTTTCTTCACCTATGGCAATTTAGAGTTTTGCAGGATATAATGGTCTTTGTTGGCATCCATGGTCTCTTAGTGTGTGCATAATGTCTGTCCTGGAACTTTGGGCTTTCACAGTATGCATTGAGAAGTCCAGTGTTATCATGATGGGTCTGCCTTTATATGTTACTTGACTTTTTTTTCCTTTGCTGCTCTTAATATTTTTTCTTTATTCTGTATGTTTGTTGGTCTGATTATTATGTGGCAAGGGGTCTTTCTTTTTGGATCCTGTCTATTTGGTGTTCTGTAAGCTTCTTGTACCTTCATAGGCATTTCCTTCTTTAGTTTAGTTTTCTTCTATGAACTTGTTGAATATATTTTCTGTGCCTTTGAGTTGGTATTCCTTTTTTTATAATTTACTCATTTTTATTTTATTTGCATTGGTGTTTTGCTGCATGTATATAGACTGTGTGAGGGTGTTAGGTCTTGGAATTACAGACAGTTGTGAGCTGCCATGTGGGTGCTGGGACTTGAACCCAGGTCCTCTGGGAGAGCAGTCAGTACCCTTAATCACTGAGCCATCTCTCCAGCCTCTTGAGTTGGTATTCTTTCCTTCTTCTATCCCTATTATTCTTAGGTTTGGTCTTTTCATGGTGTCCCAAATTTCCTTCATGTTTTTTGTTATGACTTTGTTGACTTTAGTGTTTTCTTTGACTGATGAATCTATTTCCTCTATTGTATCGTCAGTGCCAGAGATTCTCTCTACAATCTCTTGTGTTCTGTTGGTTATGCTTGCACCTGTAGTTCCTGTTCATTTATTCAGATTTTCCATTTCCAGCCTTCCCTCAGTTTGTGTCATCTAAATTGCCTCTATTTCAGTTTTCAAATCTTGGACTTTTTCATTCACCCCTTTAATTGCTTTTTCTTGGTTTTCTCTAAGGGATTTATTGATTTCTTCCATTTTTTGTTTGTCTTTTCTTTGAATTCTTTTTTTTTTTTTTTTTTTGGTTTTTCGAGGCAGGGTTTCTCTTGTGTAGCTTTGCGCC